GCTTTGCAAGATGATAGCTTATTGTGTGTCTTGCGGCCTTTAGTAGCACTATAGGACAAGAATACAATCCATAAGTCTTGTTACAAGACAAAGCCATTATTTCTTGTTCAATCTCTACGTTAGATACAGGTATGAAATAGAACGAGTTTCTTTGGTCAATTTCAGCAAGGAAATCTGTAAAACTAGTCTTTGACTGAGGAATCTTATTAGAAAGGTTTATGCCTATGTTCGAGAAATGATCGTTGATGATATTGGGCAGCATACTTGAATCACGAATTAGACGAAGAAACAAAACAATTACACATCGATTTTCTTGCATACGTTTGATGACCAATCTAAGGTCTTACTCTGGACGAAATGCTGTAGATTTTCTCCATATCGGTCATAACGAAAAATACGTGTGAAATAGGAGTACTTTTTACGTTATCAAAAGTGTGCATAATTTAAAAAATTGTCAAAAATCGCTAGTTTCTTTTTAGAACTTTATTTTCAGCCAGAGAACGGTTGAGATAATGATAAACACAACGTGTAAGTATAATCACTAAAGGTCAAGTATTTTTGCTATACGAGGTCACGCAAATCACTCTTTGTAAACAACAAAAATTTGCATATTTGACCTCTCTCACAAAAACAATCGTATCTCGCAAACGAAAAAATATATTTTAATAAAAACACCACAGTGATTCATCAGACATAATAAGGTACCAAATATGAAAGTTTGAGCGAAATCTAATTTTTTACACTTGCCACTGTATGTCTGGTGTTTGCTGACATCCACTCTTAAGTTTTATTAATATTGTGTCTCTAAAACGAGCCGTTTATTTCGATTAACCATCAGGACTAGGAATCCTCCATGACACTTCGTCATGGTCATTGGCTTCTAATTGGAAATTTGCATATCAGCATTTCACAGAGCGTGCAACTCTTTGCCGTATAATTCAAAATTATCCCTTGTCTTTTTGAAAACATGAATATAAGCTAATATAAAACAAAATCTCAAAAACAAAATGCCATTTTATTGCACTGGTTTTTATAATCATTCGCGCAGTGTGAAACTCACGCGGAGTCAAACTCACGCGGTGACCAACCAACAACTTAAGAAGTCTGGCTGTACCTTCTCGTTCTACAGTTACTGTGAATGAAGTTCATTTATTCACAATTCTTACTTGAAATACTGTATGTTTAATTGTATTTTATATCAAGCTTTAGATGAGAGAAACAGCAAAATATTGTTTGAAAAATCCTCAAGTTTACTTGTCCCAAAGAGGTGTCAGCTTTGACCTGTGTTGACTTTTTGACATGAAATTTAAAGGACATTAGCAATGAAAATCAATAAACTTTGTAACAAAAGTGCTTACATTCAGAGACTCATTGGTGGTATTACTTTTTCTCTCGGCTCTAATCACTACAAGAAATAGGTTGATGTTTCATCCTTTTGCCGCCATTACGGCGGCCATTTGAATGTTATTCCCTTCCTCATTAAATTTAGGTCACGTGGTACAAATGACGTCACTTGAGGGGGAGCAAAATCAGAAGTTTTGAAATGTTATTGCGCTGTTGTGCCTGTGTTTATTGTGAAGGATTTTTATATTTATCGCCGAAGATATGGAGGAAATTCATTGTAATCMGCAGAGCGAGGTCTTGCCTTATCAATTCGAGCCGGTATTTACAACAGATAATGCCGGAAATGATTCAAACATTGATTCCGAGGAGAGTCAATCATCAGAGTCAGAAAGTGAAGTTGCACTGGAAGTAGAGAATGCCTGGCGACTTCAAACCCTAGATTGGTGTAAATGTGGCGAATGTACCCTCTCCATAAAGGGCATMGAGTGTTTTTGTTGCCACGAGAAAGCTGTCGAGTACGATCAGTACGATGGTTTGCTTAGTGAAGCGGAAGCCAAAGGTCTACAGTGTATCACGGCTCTTTCCGACTTCAAGGAAAACATGCTCTCCAAATCGGTCCTTAAAATCGATACTTGCCGTTATTTGGAGGAAAATTGGCCTATAGGAGACGAAGACCTTGCGAAAATTCATAAAGATTTTTCAGATTTTTGGGAAAAAAGTATGTCGTCCATTCCCAGCATGTGTCTATTCTAAAATTCGAACAGCATTCGCTTCTCCAGATGGATTGTACACACACTTTAAATACCCATCAAAGAAGAAAAAGTAAATATACTTCTTAGTAAGTAGCATATTTTCAATATGATCTGAACATGAAGATTCAGAGAAAAATATTACATGCTCTTGGCAGTCATTATGTGATAACTACCACAACACATGCACAAGTGTATGGTATCTGTGAAGAACACCGTACATTTATAACACAGTCAAAGAAATACTAGAAAGTACAAATCCTCATAAAACAGAGTGTTGCTTTATTTGTCTCGGTTTTTACATTTATCTTCCCTACAAGTGCATTGACTTCCACATTCTAACTCATTCTTATCACAATTACAGGCCCTTGTGGCACACATTCCTTTGCATGAACATGATATACTTGAATTGAGGAGAAGTTCTGGAACAACAGCTGGAGAACTGTATCTTGTATGCCTATTTTGAACAATTTGCTCTTTTGGGGGATGTGCCTTTCCAGCTAGATATTTATCAACTAGAGATTGGGGCTCAGCTGGCAGAACTTGCTGTGAGTGAAGTTTTAGTAGTAATGTGCATAAAGTATTGGCCAAAAATGGTTCTCCGGATTAGATAGAATACGCTCGTAGTGGCGTAGTGAGCGTAGTAATGTATAAATGTAAATTCACACCCATGTTGGAGTGGTAATAATATCCCCCTCCCCCGTATTATTATTCAACCAACACAAAAGAGGACAAACTAGGAAAGTGGGCTGTAGATATTTATATTGTTTGTTGTAAATGCCCCTCCCCTAGCCCCTAGGTCCTCACTATGCCCCTCGCCTGTCAATCAACTGAAAATGCCAACGTTTTGCCGGGCTTTTGTGAACTGTTCACACGCTTCCAGCATGTCTTCACCAAATAAGAGTCTCAGCGTGAGGAAGTCTAATAATGGTGATATCTGCATACACCAAAAGATTAAACAAGGGAAATATAGAGCCGTTGCAGATTTTTGGTTTACGATTAGTGATTTCGTCAAGTTTGACGGAGAATTAGGCGCCAACTMAGGATATGTCTTTCATGTTAAGAAGCTCGTTGGGGAAGAGTAAGTTTAAATTATTCACACCACTATTCATACTGTAGTATACTAGTTGTGTATTGTTATTGTATTAGTCTAGTAACGCTCCATGTAGTCCAAGTGACTTATTTTTTGTGTAATAGAGCGTTTCAGCGTCGTTTATTCTTTCGTCGCATTCAAATAAAAGGCAATATAAAGTATATATCATTTTGAAGCTTATTAAAATCATTAGCTCCACATTGTTACTACCCGTTGTACGACCTTTTTTTACAGTGAAATATTCCAGTTGAATTAACTTACTTATAAGTTACTGGATTTAGTAAATTAGTAAAGTCGGTGTTAATTAACGCACATTTGCTAGAGCATGCTTGCTGTCATTAGAGTGTGAAGTTTTAATAATTCAATACTCAGGAAAATGAAGTATATTTAATTACTAGCACTTTATTCGGCCTTAAGTTAAAAAAAGGTTTGACTACAAGAGCATTGCAGACAAGTGAGCTGTCATTAGCTCGATCGGGTATTTCTAACCATTGCRTGCTTTATCAAAGAATAAGAGCTACATAAAACCGTTTTTAACACTGATAATTGTTGTATTTTTCGCAATTCGAAAGTCTCATTTCACTAAGAGACTTTTTGTTTGATGAGAATATGAATTAATATAGGTGTACTGTGTGTTTCACGCAAGAGATATGAAGATTCTCACGCATTGTATACAATATTATTGTATCGGGTCACAAAATTCAGACGCCTTTCTGCACCTGTCTCTTCTCGTCTAGACATGTACAAACCGGGATTTTAATGTTTAAGGTGGCTCTCATCTTTTTTATATTTCTTAATTCATTCATTTCTTTTTTTAATGCCTTTTTAAATGCCTTTCATATATACCAATACATTTGTTTCTTGGACCAGTGATAAAATGCTAAATTGAGCTTGATTAGAGTTTCCATGGCAACATTTACATACACAAAAAATCTAGAAATATAAAAAAAATGTTATATTTTTTTAATTTTKGCGATGTAACGACATCATGTTACATCAAAGTCAACCTTTCTCAAAACACATCACTTTCATACTTCATTCTAAGATTATTCATTTTTTTATTTTTACAAAAGCAATAAAATTATCTTTTCTTTTCAGAGTGTGCTTTGTATCATGTAAAGACTTAAAAAATTCAAAAGTTGCCTTAATGAGGCCTTGGCAGAATCAGGACGTGTATTTTGGGATGATGTAAAAGACAACCAACTACAGTGCCTTTTGAAAGATATGACAAGAAAGTACTTCTTGAATAATGGAAAGACAAAAAAACCTATTCTAAATGTAGGACGTCAACCTGCAGTGCACATGACAACAGGAGGCCACAAGCCAGAAGATGACACTTATGTATTCAATGAAAAGCAAGAGGTGATTGTATAATTATTGTTTGATCTAATGGAGGGTTGACATTGAAATTGGACCAGTAGTAGTAATAATCTGAACTTTTACATGTAATGGATACTTGCTAGCAAAAAAATTTACATTGACTACATAACTGAATTGCATTGAAAGTAATATGTATTTTGATGTTCGTACTAGATGAATGGTAAGGGAGAACYTATAGAGAATGACCAAGAATACATATGGTTAAATGGGTGTTTTGGAAATGAATTTAAAGTGCATATTTTACTGGATAAGCAGTTTAGCTGGCGACAATTGCTAGATACAGCATTGCCTGTATTTAATATTAACTTCAATCAGTGCATGATGATGATTGCAGGGGCAATTGCGTGCTATCACTATCCATACTCTATTAAAATAGCTGGTAAGTGTAATATTTAATCCAAAAATAGATCACATTTTTCAGTGTGTCTGTAATATTTTTTTTTAAATAACAAAACTTTTTATTCACAAACAAATTTCGATACAATACAATAGTTATACACTACTAGAATCCGATACATAAATGAACTTTACACTKTCTATTATTAAAAATAGTTTAAGTAAAAAAGAGGAAGGCACAACAAGCAAATATGTAACAACTTTCCTAATCAAAAAACAGTACACATTACAGATAGTATACATATACGAATCACGACCACAACAACAACAACAAAATCCAAAATACAACAGTAAACAGCTTCCTTGAGTTCGTATATCTTTTATGAAAAAAAAAAACAACTAAATATCTTCTAGTTTACTCCATTTTTTATTGTGGCTCTCTAATTTGTCTTTATTTAGGGCCACTTTCTTTTCAATGTTCTTATATCTTTTAACTTTTTATCTTTTAAGTGTTTAAACATTGAAAGGGAAATATATGAATTATTTTTATCTCGAGATTTATATAGGTAAAACTTAAATAACAAAATGATAAAATTGATCATCCCATCATCCACACCAAGAATTATATTTTTTTTACTACAACATGGGCAAAGCAATATTGAAATCATTTAGCCATACACGTATATAATAATATAAGTTCTTAGATTCTACACACTCTACGAAAAAATGATCTACCGTTTCAGGATATACATGGCATAAAGAAGACGAGGAATCTTCAATTATCTTAAATCGGTGTAAATCAAAATTCAGATATAGAACGTTATTYAAAATTTTATACTGGAACATTCTTAAATAAGTATCAATTGTGCTTGTATAAATACGTCTATACACTTTATCCCATTTTATCTCTTGGTCATCGTTATTATTATCTAAAATTCTTTTACTCAAATTATATTGCGCTGTAGGTTTTGACATTTTCTCATTCAAAAAAAACTTATATATATATCCTTGGTCTTAACATTATCAATAGAAATAAGTTTATCATTTACAAACATTTTCTCATCAGCTTGATAATTAACTTTATTAATTTCTTCAGTTTTTTGAATCAATAGCCTTTTCCATGATTTTGGTATTGCATGAATTATTCCTGCCCATCGTAGGAAGTCTTTTTCTTGTAGACCTTTTGACTTTGCTTGCTCCCACGAAAGCTGACCATTTGTATTGCACAAATCTGAGATCTTATTAATATTAAGTTTAGAGAACGACTTATAGAAAATAGACGTGTTTTCAATTTTAATCAGTCTGTTATTCCACAAAGGTTGGTTCAGAATAGCTATTACATTATCATCTGGAGTTGATTTTGAATACTCCGACCATGCTGTTAAAATTTGCGTTAAAAAGGGTGTAGCTGATTTTGGTTTCTTTTAATGTCAAAATTCATGGATATATTTGCTTAACCTCCAATTTCTTTAAGATTCAAGTCTGGTATTAGCGTAAACTCTTTATCGATGTTATTATGTTTTKTAAAATTAAGGAAAAGGCTAACTTGTTTCCCTTTCAATTGACATTGGAAATCAGGCATCTTCAAGCCCCCTTTTTCGTAATCTCCAATTAAAGTTCCATGCTTTATTTTATTTTATTTTTTTTTCATTCCAAATAAAATTTTTTATTTCTGACTCTACTGACTGAATAAAGTCTTTGCTTACAAACATTAACATTATTGTCTGTAATATATTATTATAGGCATGAATACAGTTGACTCTTACAAATGCCCTAGGGACTATTAGTGTTATATTGAAATTGGAAGTCAAATAAAATTTTACAAATATTTCAATATCGAGAATACACCATTTTCTAATTCAAAGCAATAACMACAGTTAATTTCTTTGACAGCAGATTCTCAATGCAAAGAACTTACCAAACACAAAAGAAAGCACAAGAAAATTAAATGCTTTAAGTACAATGGTGCTAACCCTGTATAATCCCTACAGTTTCCTACATTAGGCCTTATGGGAATACCATATGGTTGGTATATGGTTGGCTTCAACTCGGGGAAAATGCAAATTTCCAAGGCTGTTGTAAAAACGACATTTTCTCTAATGCTTATTTGTGTTGGTCAGGTCAGGTCCTTGCACACAAACATTTTGTTAGATAAAGCAGCCATTTGTCGTTATGTATTCAAAACTGGAGTACTCAAGYGTAACTAATAATATGTATTTTTCATTTATAGATGCTTGCCCAGCACCAATGGCCATTGGTGAACCTGGTTCAGGAAAATCAACAACAATAGATCTTATCTCAAAGATGCTTGGCTCAAAGGTTGAATCTCAAGCAACCAGTGAAGTGATACAGTCCCTTTTATGGAAGAGTAMTATTCCCCTTTGTTGGGATGACCCAACCTATCCGTCAACTGTAAGATCTGTCCTGGCGGGGTCCTTGACTCAAAAGGGAAAAGGACAAAAGGGAGAGGGAAAGAGGTTCCTCTAACTAATGTTATTCTTGCTGTGAATTTTGAATTGGATGAMGATTTAAGGTATTACTAGCAATTGTTTAGAAACAAATAATTATAATACCGTATTTACMGATGTATAAGGCACACTTTTTTAAAAAAATTGTTCCCAAATCGACGGTGCTACTTACTGCAGACAGGACATCAGTAATGTGATAAGTTAACACGGCGGGAACAGAAATTTTAATTCAAACTTCTCAGTATTACTATAAATTCTCCGAAAATCTAGCTCTGAGAAACACAAGTCAATAAATCAAACTGAAAAGTGCATGGTTATTGAGCCAATGAACAGATAGCATTTTCAATAATTGTTTTGTCTTGGAGTTGTTTTGGTAACGCGATGCTAATTTGCATTGTTCATTTACTCGACTTTGTCACACTTCAAGTGAAGAATCCAAGGTGTTTTGAATATTGAATATTTGAATATTTTGAATACCCAAGAAATAAGCCTATATAAAATAAAGCCAGTATGTTATAACTTGGGATGKGCTTATATTCAAATTTCATGTTTTTATTTATTTTTTCTGGTTATAATTTAGGTCTTTTGAAAGAATTGTACCAATTGTCTATCGACAACCAGAGTCACCAAAGGACCCAAAAGCATACAGAGAAGCCAAGGAAGCTGCCTTCACTGCTGCAACAACAGCATGCATCCCAAGMATCATAAGGATGGGAGCACACTTATGGCACAACCCTAACCTTGTAGATGACCAGATAAATTTTTTTAAAGATAAAGACCCAAATCTGCCACCTCTTATGCATAAATTGTATGGTTTATACAAAGCCATTGTCCATGAGGTATTGCAATATATACATAATCGATAAAACTGAACTGAACTGGTAACAATTGCATACAGTTTAATAATTATAATTTCAAATCAGATGAAATTTCATCTTATTTCATCTTATGTTATGGTTAWGTTACTAGGTTTTGTTAATCTTAAAAAATTAAAAAATCCTTATAAAAGAGTTTAATTCATTCTAATGGGTCAATGAATTTTTTAGTTTGTACCCAGGTTTAATTACCTCACAAAGGTTCACAATATAAGTTACATTACTCAGCTATTAGCAGTAAAAATTCATGTGAATTTATATAAATATGTGCAAATTTCAGAWTATCAACGAATATCAGCTGGAAATGCTCAGTGACGATGATGATGATGACCAGGAAGTAAATGCTGTAATAACTATTGCTGGATACGAATCATATCTAGATGAGATCTTTCTGCCATATGTTAGAAACGTGGTAAGGAGCAGCACAGATCTGAAAGAATCTGGGGACTTCAMACACTTTTGTCAGTGCCTTGAAACATCTTTGGAAAACATGGTGGATGATCAGATAATTAGCAGATGAGCTTCAGAGCTGAAATATCCCTCTGGTACAAAAATGTAAAAAAAGGAAAACTAATTGACCCAATTCTGATTTTCAGAGAAGTCATGCAGTTCTCAATCTCAGTGTATTTTGGATTAGGACTTAAAGCACAGTATATTTTCGCATMAGCTAATGTTTTAATTGAATTTTTTTAGAGATTGGAAAAGTTTTTAAAACCAAACATCAAAACCAGGAATGGTCAATGCATGTACCTGATATTGCCAGAAATRTTGGAGTTCATTAAAGAGAAAGTTGGGCAATTGGAGGGCTTCTTTAGCCTTACCAAATTAAGGAAAGATATAAGTAAGATTTCTGGAGCATCAGTTGACCACTCAGCTCTGTTCAATGGCACACAGCGCCGCTGTGTGAAAATACCACAACAACATATTCCTATGAAGGTGCTTACAGTTATTGATAAAGGTAAGCTACAATGTACATTTGTCATAAATAAACAAGTTTAGACTAACTATTGTTGCATTAATTAACTCACAAAACAAATTGCATATTTTTGTCGAAACATACATGTAGAAGTGACAACGGAATGCAATGAGACTAAGCTTTGTCTTTCCTTAATACTTTTGTATAAGTCATTAATTACATATTTTGTAATATTTATAAACTTCTTTAAGTGAAAATTTCTTTAAAAGGTGTTTCTTTCAATTAAGAGTATCTCTTTCTTACTTTATGTACTAAAGCATGTGGTGAAGAATTTACTGAAGAGTTAGAAGATCAAGAGACAACAAGTGCTGAAACAACCCACACCCTAAGAAAACAGCTTCTACAAATTCAAAAAGAAAATAAAGACCTACTTCACCAACTAAGCCTAGAAAAAAAAAGATGCCATGCTGCCCAAGAGAAAGTAAAAGAATTAGAACGACAGATGGTGAATTCTGCTAAGTGTRCATGTAGTCAGGTTTGTGATGTAGCTGATGATACAGAAGTCAGTGATGAAGAGTCACAGCTGGTTGGTGACAACAATCTGACAGATGGTAATCAACAAACCATGAATTTTAACCAGASCCCAAATGTGCATAGCAGTACTGTTACTAGTACAGTTCAAGCGTTCTCAAGTATTGTTGGGAAAAGAAATCATGGTAAAAATGAATCTTAAACAATTATATCATCATCATTATCAGAGCAACAATCAATGACAATAAAGAAATGGAAATGGACATTAATATTAAACTACGCACTACGCTCACTACGGGCTACGCCACTACACGCCCCTACGCTCACTGCGCCCCTACGCTCTCTACGCCACTACGCCCCTATGGGCTACGCCATTACGCTCACTATGCCACTTCGGGCTACGCCACTACGCCMYTACGCTCACTATGCCACTTCGGGCTACGCCACTACGCCCCTACGCTCACTACGCCACTACAAGATACGCCACTACTCTCAGTACACCCCTACGTACTACGCCCCAACGCTCACTCCGCCCTGCACCACGACGCTTAGTGCCGATGATACATACATATACATGTACCAAAAATATGCTCACTACGCCACAACGTTTAATGCCTTTTGAGTGGTTTCCCAAGTATCCTAAGTGGTTAATTTTACCAGGAACGCACACAAATGTGTTGTTTATTGCTTTTATATTATAGCATTTTTGCATCCATGCATTTCCCGGTGAAATAAACAATAACATTTCACCAATCAGAGAGCGCGTACTATGATAGATRTTCAGTAATATAATAAGAGTTAATCCAGGATTAGCGCTAATTGTAGCTTGAAAAACCCGGCCCARTGTGTATAAGGAAGTCAGTAGACCACCGCCACTATAATTTTGAAAACGAAATCTCCAAAAGTAACCTAAGAATATGAGGTATGCTACGCAAGCTACGCGTAGTTAGAGCATATTTTACAAAACACTTATCTTACAATAAGCCGGGTATACATAAATACCATAGCTTGGTTCTTCTTTCAGTGACTTTGCAACAGCCTTTTCCCCTTTTGATGCTTTTGGAAAATTGATGGTCCACTTGAGCTTTCCATCAAGTGTTTTTGCTTGATTTCGTGAACTGTTTTCGTTGTAATGTAAGTTTGAACAAAACAATCTGCATAATATGAAAACATATAATCATTGGTCTAATCAGCAAACATCAATATAATATATCATTATTATACAAATGGTTAGGTAATTATGAGGTGACCAGTGACATACAGTAATGTATAAAGGCCCATAAAAATATTCAAATAACCAGTAAAC